GAAAGAAATCTCCAAAAATTCATCTGGAATAAAAAAAAGACTCCAAAGAGCCACAGCAATCCTGAGAAAGGAGAATAAAGTAGGAGGGATCTCAATACCAGATTTCAAGCTGTATTACAAAGCCATGGTTCTCAAAACAGCCTGGTATTGGCACAAGAACAGACATATAGACCAATGGAATCGAATAGAGAAACCAGATATCGACCTAAACCACTATGCTCATTTAATACTTGATAAAGGATGCATGAATATACAGCGGAGTCAAGATAGTCTCTTCATTAAATGGTGTTGGGAAAATTTGACAGATACATGCAAAAACATAAAACTAGACCACCATTTGACATCATACACAAAAATAAACTCTAAATGGATACAGGACTTAAACATAAGACAGGAAACCATAAAAATATTAGAGGAATCCACAGGAAGAAAAATCTCAGACATATGAATAGTATGACCTAGAGACTCAACAAGATGGTGGCATAGGGCAGACACCGGAATGCAGCCTACCACAACAAGTTTGAATTTAGAACTGAAAAACGGGGGAAACATCACCTTGAGGCGCCGGACTGCTGGCTGAGGGGAGGCTCTACCATCTGGGAAGGAGAAAGAAGGCGTGCTGAACCTCAGGAACTGTGAAGGTAAAGAAAACTGTGTGTGTGAAAAGGCGGCCTCCCTACTTTGCTGCCGGCTGGCTTATGAAGTGCAGAGAGGGCCGCCCTCTCTGCCTGCAGGGAGTTCGCTACAGGCTTACTCCCTGCGGGTGGAGAGTGCGGACAGCTAATGCGCTGCTGGCTTTCTGGTTCAGGAGGAAAACAGAACCACCCTATTGCGCTGATAGACGCCCAAGATAGGGAGAGGCCAGACTGTCCGGCAGTGGGCAGAGATCTCTCAGAGGTGTGTGAAGCCAGCGGTCATAACTGCGGGACTCAGAAACCAGACCCTCGTAGGGAGGGGCTGAATAAAGCTTGTCTGCACCACCCAAGACTCCGCCCCATCCAAGCAGAGCACAGAAGCCCTTCCAGTGGCTAGCTTTCTCATTCGCTGCCAATAGAACTCTCCTAGGGAGGGGCAAACAGGAATCTAAAGCTTGTCTGTGCCTGTACCAAAGAGGTGCATGAGCCTGCAACCAATTGTGCGGGATTCAACAACTTGGCTGTGCCACCTCGAGACTCCGCCCATCCAAGTGGAATACAGAAACCCTCCTAGCTGAGACACTTCTGATCCTCATAGCCAATTAGCTTGGAGATCAACGCTTTCCAGTGATACCAACAACAAGCAAGGCTGCACACACAGCCCACAAAGGGCTACACCAAGACTGTCCACCTCAGGTAACTGGAAGGCTGATTCACCAAAACATATAGGACACCTTAGCACACAAAGCCACCCTACCAACTCAGGGAAGCTGTGAAAATGCCAAGACAAGGAAACAGAGCACAAACAAAAGAAATGGAAGAAAAGAAGAGACTGGATATAGAGTTCAAAACCACGCTTATAAGGTTTTTCAAGAATTTCCTAGAAAAGGTCGACAAGACCTATGAGGAGATGAAAGGGATCAACAAGAACTAATAAGAGATCAACAAGAAATAAAGAATACATTGTCTTAAATAAAAAATATTATACAGAGTCCTAAAAACAGAATGGAAGATCGCAATAATCAAGTCAAAGATTTGGAACATAAAGAGCCAGAAGACACTCCTCCACAGAAGCAAGTAGGCAAGAGAATCCAGAAAGTTGAAGATAATGTAAGAAACCTCTGGGACAACTTCAAGCAAACCCACATCAGAATTATGGGGGTCCCAGAAGATGAGAGAGAGGAAGATATTGAAAACATACTGAAAGAAATAGTGACAGAAAACTTCCCCCACCTGGTGAAGGATTTAGACTTACAAGTCCAGGAAGCGCACAGAACTCCAAACTAAAGGAATTCAAAGAAGACCACACCAAGACACATCATAATTAAAATTCCAAGAGCAAAGGACAAAGAGAGAATATTAAAAGCAGCAAGAGCAAAGCAGGTAGTTACCTAGAAAGGAGTACCCATATGATTGTCAGCTGATTTCTCAACAGAAACCATGCAGGCCAGACGGGAATGGCAAGAAATACTCAAGGTGATGAATAGCAAGAACCTACAGCCCAAAATAATCTACCAGCAAAGCTATCACTCAGAATTGAAGGCCAGATAAAGAGCTTCACTAATAAAAAAAAAGCTAAAGGAGTTCATTACCACCAAACCAGAATTATATGAATTGCTGAAGGGGGTTCTTTCGGAAGAGAAAGTAAATAAAGATAAAAACTATGAACAACAAATACGTAACTATCAACAAGTGAATCTAAAAACCAAGGGAATTAAAAAAAAATCTGATGAACAATATTAACTGGTGCATATAATAGAATCAGAGGTATGGTAGGGGAGTGGACTGACGATTCTCGGGGAAAAAGGGGAGAGGGGAGTGTGGGAAGAGACTGAACATAAACTGGGCACCTATGGATGAGGACAATAGGGGGGGGGAAGGACAGATGGTGGGGTGGGAACCTGGTGGAGGAGAGCAATGGAGGGGGGGAATGAGGAACATTTGTAATAATATGAACAATAAAGATTTATTAAAAAAAACATCAGACATATGCTGAAAGAACTTCTTCACTGATACTGCTCCTAGGGCAATGGAAGCTAAAGAGAAAATAAACAAATGGGACTATATCAAAGTGAAAAGCTTGTTTACAGCAAAAGAAACCATTAACAAAACAACAAGAAAGCCCACTGTATGAGAGATCATATTTGCAAATGTTATCACTGATAAACTTTTTATCTCCAACTTATAGGGAATTTATACAACTTAATAAGAGGATTATAAATGACCTAATTAAAAAAATGGACAATTGATCTAAATAGAATGTTTTTGAAAGAAGACAGAAGGAATGCCAAGAGACACATGAAAACATGCTCGAAGTCACTACTTATCTGAGAGATACAAATCAAAACAACAATGCAGTACCATCTCACACCTGTCAGAATGGCTATCATCAACAAATCAACAAACAAGTGTTGGCAAGGATGTGGAGAAAATAGAATCCTCATGTACGGCTGGTGGGAATGCAGACTGGTGCAGCCACTGTGGAGAAAACAATATAGAACTTTCTCAAAAAAGTATCATAAAAATGTAACTACCACTTGACCCAGTAATCCCATTTATAAGAATATATCCTAAGAAACTAGAAACACCCATCAGAAAGGATATATGCACTGCTATGTTCATAGCAACTCAATTTACAATAGCTAAGATTTGGAAACAACCTAGGTGCCCATCAGCAGATGACTGGATCAGAAAACTATGGTATATATACACAATGGAATACTATGCTGCCATAAAAACAAGGAATTCTTACCATTTTCTGCAACCTGGATGTAACTGGAGAACATTGTACTAAGTGAAATGAGTCAGGCAATGAATGACAAATTCCACATATCACTCATTTGTGGATAATAAGTAACTTTATAAACTGATGAACAAAAAGATAAATACAGAGGCAGTAAAGCATCAAACAGACTGTTGAATTACAGTGGGATGTTTATGGAGAGGTGGGTGAGATAAGAGATCACCCAAAGGACTTGTATGCATGCATATAAGCATAAGCAATTGATGCAAAACACTGGGGGATGAGGGCATGTATGGGAGTGGGTTGAGGGGGGCAATGGTAAGATAAGTACACATATATTCCCTTAATTTTTAAAATGGATAAAAAATTAAAAGTAATTTTATGAAGTTAAGGTTATGTAATATGTCCCTTCTTTTTCAGTTTATATCAGAGCTACTACTAATGCCTTCAAGGTAGAGACATCATCTGATTTGTCTTTTTTAAGTCAATGCTTCTAGGGTGGTGATTACTTGGGGGGAAGGGTAGAAAGAGGAGGGGAGGAGGGGGAGAAAATCTAATGCTATCAACAATAAAAAATGTATTTTAAAAAAAGAAGAAAAAAGTGTGGCCAAATTGCTTGTGTTTCATATCCCAGCTCCACTATTTCTTAACTGCATGACCTTTGCAAAATATCTGCTTTGGGTCTCAGGTTCCTCATTTTTAAATGTAATAATAATAATAGAGCCTACATCATGTGGCTTGAATTGTTATAATTAAATGAATTACACATACTGAATTAATGTATGAGTGTGTCTTCATATCTATATATACATACACATATATATGTATCAACTCATATGCACATATACACTGACTGGTCAGATTATTATGATCTCTGAACGCATAATAATCTGGCACTCAGTGTATATCCTATATAATAAAAGGCTAATATGCAAATTGTCCCCTTAATGAGGAGTTCAACCAGCAGGCAGGCTGGCCAACTGCCCATGTCCCCTCCCTCTGGCCAGGCTGGCTGAACCACCCCATGCACAAATTCATGCACTGGGCCTCTAATATATATATATATATATATATATATATATATATATATATATATATATATATATACTGAGTAGGCAGATTATTATGCATTCAGAGATAATAATCTGGCCAATCAGTGTATGTGTGTGTACAAATATATGTATATCTGTGTTTGTATACACATTTATGTATTTTAGAAAACTGGAACAATGTAAACATTCTATAAATATCAATAACCACTATTGTTATTATTTTGCTCAACAAGATTGAAAATGCCCTTCCAGCCTGTCAAAGTACAGTGCACCTATTTTGTGGTTTTTACCAAGCATGAAGATATGCTTAGTTGCTTGACTTTTTAAAAAATTCTAGTTGATAACTGATTAGTAATAAATTTAATTCACCATGTAAAATACATACCATGAATTACACTGTTATTTGTCTCTCAGTTGTAGAAATTAGTTTCATTCTTATTTCACTACATTTAGTTGCAATCAGATAATTATAGATATCATTTCTGTATTTTTTTGTGGTTTAAATATTTAATTTTTTATGAAAACAAGTTTTTCAGTTGACCAATGATTAGCTAATTTCTGATTGTAGAAAAGGAAATAGGTTGCCCCAAGTTGCTATTTTCATTTCCTCATGGGAGGAAGAAGCACAGAAGAGAATAAAGGCTAGACACAAGCATTGAACCTCTGCCACCATGGGAAACTGGGCTGTGAATGAGGGTCTCTCCATCTTTGTTATTGTAAGTATCGATGCATTATGAATTCTCTGACTTGTCTGAGTTCTCTTGGGAACAAAATAGAGTAAAGTTTTTTTTGTTTGTTCATTTTATTTCTTTGATAAATTGTGTTGAAACTTATCTACTGTGTGAACATGCATCCATTTGCAAGTCAACTGAGTCCATTCTCCCAAGCTTTCTCTTGGAAAGAATTTGACTATGGGCTCCCTTCACCTAGTTTATTTCTTGAGTATTTTGGAGAACTAAATTATCCAATATTTCACATAGGGAGTAGAAGATATTTCATGTTAATAATCACTGAGTTTGAGTTGTTTATTAATGTTTACTCCAGAGGCAAATTTTTACTTTTTATGTGTTTATACCAATTCAAAAATGAGCAATTGAAATTTTATATCACTTTCTAAATAACAACTACAAGACTGGCTCATCTCTGGGAAATTGACCTTTAATTCAGGAATTACAGCAAAAGTAATTGACATTCTTATCTTTATTTTTTTTAAGTGCCTTCTTATCTCTTATGTAAATTAAGTTATTTATAAAGTTAAAGAAAGGGAATTGAAATTATATATCTAGACTCATATATACATTCTATATATAATATATACTATATATGACATACCGTATTTTCCGGCATATAAGACGACTTTTGAAACAAAAAAAGTCAACCGAAAATCGGGGGGCAAAAGACCAAAATTGCACAAAAATTACCTGCAGATCTTGACGGCAAAGTAAGTCTTTTCTTTGAAGTGGGGGGTAGTCTTATACAGCGAATATAGGCCCAAACCTGTTTTTAACTGTAAAATTAGGGGGTTGTCTTATATGCCGGAAAATACGGTGTGTGTGTGTGTGTGTGTGTGTGTGTGTGTGTGTGTGTGTGTGTTTGTATATATATCATTTTAATCTATCTTGAGAAATTATCTTTGTAAGTAAAGATATGGCTAATTTCCAAATATAAATGTTAATTTCTTTAGTTTTTAACATAGCAAATATCAAATATTATTTTATGGTGGTGGTCTCAGTCAGCAAAGCAATCATAAACAACTGGGAAAATAGAAATGTGACTTATAACTATAGCTTTTCCAAATACCCAATGAAAGCATTATATAGATATTAAAAAGAACTCATAAATTGAACTTTTGAAAGAATGACAGTTAATTTGAATATTACTCTTTTTTTTATAGCACACCAGTGTGTCTTTTATAGCACCCCAATGTGCTGTGTCACACCATTGAAAATCACTGAATTAAAGACATTTAGCTGATGAGACTCCCACTAGCTGGGGTGGGATGCTGTGTGGTGGAGGGAGGTGATTGGTACCTATAAGAATAGAACACAGAGTCCTACTGGTGTCAGGGACAATATAGCAATGTATTTATTTCCCTTCTCTTTTTAAGAAAAGTCATGCACTATCATCTATCTATCTAAGGCTAAGCAGAAAAGAGGAGAAGTTATTATTAGACTTGGCATACTAGCCAAGTAGTAAAACAATCATGTGGAACAGCACAGGGTGCAAGAGTTAATTACAGGGAAGTATAGTGTCACTGCCCTAGGAAAGATCTGGTTCTAAGATGGTTTCATCCAGCTTTGTAACCACCTGTGTCAAAGGCTGGACTTGGGGAAGTCCTAACCCTGGTCTGTCACCAATATTGAGTGAAATCCACCTGTTGGTATGTGAAAACCTCATGCAACTGTTTCTGTTTGTGCAGCTGGTATGGCTGGGCTTGAACGTCTTCCTCTTTGTCTGGTATTACCGAGTTTATGATATTCCACTTAAGTTCTTTTACACTCGAAAACTTCTTGGGGTAAGTATAAGTTCCATCTCATGCAATATTGAATAGCTCACATTTTAATCAACTATTCTTGTTCACATTCCCTTGAAATTTTTCAATAAATATTCTGAATAGCACTATCAACCTCACTTCCTCCATTGCAATCCCCCTAGACAAGAGTGGTTTGTTTTTTGTTTGTTTGTTTTTAAAATATATTTTTATTGATTTTTTTTACAGAGAGGAAGAAAGAGAGATAGTTAGAAACATTGATGAGAGAGAATCATTGATGAGCTGCCTTTTGCACACCCTCTACTGAGGATGTGCCCACAACCAAGGTACATGCCCTTGACCAGAATCGAACCTGGGACCTTTTAGTCCGCAGGCCAATGCTCTATCCACTGAGCCAAACCGGTTTCGGCTGGACAAGAGTTTTTAAGTCTTCTAGTATGGGACAGACAAAAGTGTGGCAGGGGTCCTAGAAGCATCCCTGCTCTCCCCAAAACTTCTGGACAAGTGTTTAGCTTAAAAGAGAAATCTAATACTGGCTCTGGAATGGAAGGGCAAGTTGGAGAGCTATATCCAGGCATGACACAATTGGGACATGTGGAACTTTTCATATGATTCTTACCACTTTTGTGCATAGAGAGCCTTAATCCTAGTGAAATGTTATGAAATGATCAGAAGGAAATATTAATCTCCCTATATATGGAGCCTTTGAGGGATTTGCCCAAGAATCACATTCATTGATTAGACCAACAGAATAAAGGTTCCCAACATTCCTTGGGTCCATTAGCATTCCCAGTTTCGTTGAACTGCCAGGTCTTTTCTTCATTATAGATGAAAATAATTACAACTATAGCTGCCCCCAGAGGATATTATTTGCTACATCATGCTGAAACCATGAATTTATTATTTAATAATAAAGCTAATTATAATATGTAGTATAAATCATACATATTAATAATTATATCATTATACTATATTATTATGGTTGTTGGCATCTTATTCAGGTTGATGCTGAGAAGGATGATTTCTCTTCACTTTCCCCCTCCAAAATATGCAACTTCTTTAGGTATTTCAAAGAACAATTATAAAGGCAAAGCATTATACAATATCAATGTAAGTTACTGTTGAGGTTAGTCTAAGTGCTAAGAAAAGACTCTAACAACACCAGTTTCTTCACTGAACTCTAGTTAATGATATGCATGCTTAAGTATTTAGGGGAAGTGAGCTAATGTCTGCAATTTACTTTGAAAATGCATCAAAAGTAAGATATGTTGATGGATGGGTAGATTGATGTATAGATGGATATATATGTGATAAAGCAAGCATAGTAAAATGTAAAAGATGTAATTTTGGAGATGGGTAAACAGTATTCAATATGAAATTATCTAAAATTCTCTGTATGTTTGAAAATTTTCATTTAAAAATGTTTGGGTACTGGATAAGGGCCAGATTAAAACAAAGGTTCCCAGCAGGCCCTAAAGGTAAACCTTCCTTTCCAAGTAACTAGATCTCTCATGTGTGGGTCTCATGCTGGGAACCTTGGGGGAATTGAGGAGGTGTTATGTGCTCACATTATCACCCTACTCCATCTTCTTCCTCTTTTAGTCAGCACTGGCCTTGGCCAGGGCCCCTGCGGCCTGCCTGAATTTCAACTGCATGCTGATCTTGTTGCCAGTCTGTCGAAATCTGCTCTCCTTCCTCAGAGGTTCCAGTGAGGTAAGAACAAACATTTACAAAGTTTGAGTTCCTCAAAATCTCAAAGGCCATCAAGCTAAGTAAGTGTCCTATCTTAAGAAGAGCAAATCAATAGTTTGTTAGGATTTCGATCTCTATAGAATATTCATGAGCCAAGCCATGCTTGATTCTATAGTTTATTTCTATATTAATTGTTGGTGGAGCTCCCTGGGACACTATTTAATCTGAAAAGGACATTAAAAAACACACAAAAACAACCAATCAACCTATACCTCAGCAGTGACAATAAAACCCATGTGCATGCACACAGAGAGACATATAATATGTAGGTATATGTATTTAAACACAGCTTTATGAGGCTTATGTGAAATGTGGGAATTAATTTTACAGTGCCATGCTTTTCAAAGACAGAGAAAATCTCTTTTGTGGGTAACATTCCAAGCAAATGGAATCCATGGGCAATGAATCATATTATAATGAATGTGATGAAGAGGTGTTGGGTCTGAGGAATTGAGGAGTTTAGGGCCTTCCAATTGCCTGGGGCTCCATTCACTTTCAATTCAACAATTTCATGAGCCCCTGAATGTACTATGCTTGAAGAAAAAGAGATTATATAGAAAGAACTTTTGTAACCTATAAGATGGTATATGAATTTCTTATTAATAACATTATACAAAGATGAGAAGCACAGAACTTAGAAAGATGAGCAGCAGAGAACTTAGAACCTACACATGGTACTCAAATAAATGGGTCCCACAAAAAAATGTTACAAATAAAGAACTACAGGGAATCAAAGGAGGGGGACATTATATCAGAAGGGCAAAGGATGAAGAAAGGCTTTCTGGAGAAGGTTGCATTAGATATGGGCATATAAGGATAAAATAAGCGTCTAGGAGAGTTAAATGAGAGAAAAAGACTTTCTACCTGGAGAACATGGCAAGAACAAAAGGACAGGAAATGGTGAGGAAATTGTATTCTTTTTTTAAATTTCTTTATTGATTAAGGTGTCACATATGTGTCCTTATTCCCCCGTTACCCCCCTTTCCCCCCCACTCATGCCCTCACCCCCCTGGTGTCTCTGTCCATTGGTTAGGCTTATATGCATGCATATAAGTCCTTTGGTTGATCTCTCCCCTTACCCCCACCTTCCCCTACCTTCCCTCTGAGGTTTGATAGTCTGATTGATGTTTCTCTGTCTCGGGATCTGTTTTTTGTCATCAGTTTATGTTGTTCATTATATTCCATAAATGAGTGAGATCATGTTGCAGCAGATGAGTGGATTAATAAAATGTGATACATCTACACAATGGAATACTATGCTGTGGTAAAAAAAAGAAAAAGAAAAAAAAAAGATCTTCTTACCATTGCAACAGCATAGATGGAACTGGAGAGCATTTAAACCACACACAAAAAAACTAGAGAATTTATATGCTAAGTGAAATAAGCCATTCAGAGAAAGGAAATCGTATTCTTGAAATCCCTGAGTAAGCATGACCTCTGGCTTCCCTTTGGACATTTTTGCCATTCCTGATCACATCTGAATAGCTCTTCCAAAGCTGGGATTGATACACTGATGGGACCTATTCTACTAACTCAGCCTCTGATTTTTTTCTCTTAATAAAATGTATGTTTTTAATGTTAACTAGTTTTGTTTTTGTTTTTTAAGATGACTTATTAAGTACAGATAATTTCTATAGGGGAGCAGTAAACAATCTACTTTGAGGGGAATGTAGGGATTGTAAAGGGCAGATATATGGAGATAAGACTGATGTGGTGGGGACAGACGCTGTTGTGCTAGCACATGACTGAAGTTAAGTGTGTAATTGTCCAGGCCTCGTCATCAGGCTCAGCAGTCTCAACACTACATTTTAATGTAATATTTTAAACTAGAAGCCTGTTGCATGATATTCATGCAAGAATAGGCCCCTGGCTTTACTCCCAGCTTCCCGGAAGCCAGCAAGTCCCTGCTCCCCACCCCAGCCGCCCGGGGCCAGCAAGTCCTATCTGAAGCACCACTCCAGTAGCTCCCTCCAAGGTCTCCCTTGCCCTCATAGCAGGCTTCACACTGCTCTGTGACTGCATATGCAAATTACCTCCATCTTTATTGGGTTTATTTGCATACTCACTCTGGCTGTGGACATAGTGGAGTGGTGGTTATTTGCATGTTTCTCTTTTATTAGTAAGATGTTCTTGACAAAAATTGTTTGAGGTAGCTTGAAATAAAGTCTATGTGTGTTTTTTTAAAAAAAGACTGATGTGGAAGCTGGAGCTTTGCTGGTAAATTAGAACCTTGAATGTACAATTGAGGAGTTTAATACCTAATTTGGCAATCACAGAATATTTTGGGGAAGGAAAGTGGTCTAAACTGTCAATAACAAGGAGAACTTGACTTGAATTCTGCCTCATTTTTCCTAGTCATACTAAATTTACATATATCATAAGGAGAACTTTTAAAGAACAATGCAACACTCAATTTACTAATATAGGATCAAGAGACTATAACTAAAGTAGACATTGATTACAAAGATTTCCAAATAATATCTTCAGCAGAAGAAACCAGAGGTAAAACTGCATTTGCTTGAAAGTTTTATTGATTGGCCACCTGTAAAGTACAATGTCTGATATACCATAGGCATCCAGTGAACATTTGCTAAATGAGGCTCATGCTCTGTAGCTTTTTATTTTTAAGGAGACAAAATTAATTTTTATTCTTCCACTGCCTCCTGTTGGAATAGTGTATACTTAGAGGAAGTAAGCTCTGAGAAATGGTCAGTGTTTTCACCAGGATGGCCTGTTAGGAAATCCTTGTTTGTTACCCCACAGGCCCAAATTGCACTGCCTTTCAACTGTCATGCCCCATGAGCAATGTCTGTTGCAATGGCCAACTTTAAGCTTCCTTTGGCCCAGGAAGGAATACCCTCATGAGGGTCTCTAAAGACAGGGATAAAATAAGGCTGCTCTTCAAATTGCAGAGAAGCTCAGCTCTGTAAACAGAAATACCTGTAGGTCAAGTAATATATGTTGTTTAAATTAGCAACAAGAAACATTATTTTACAGATGGGGTGTGTCCCACCTTCTGGGTCTCACAGCTTAAAATGTGAACTTTGTAAAGGAAACTTGTTTTTCTGATTGGGATTAAAGTGAGTGAGCATATTGTGACTAATGTTGAAAATCATAATTGCTGCCACTTATTGAGTCTCCATAGACCTCACCTAATGAAATATGTATATTAAGCCAGTGAGGTGAGGATGAAATTAAGTGAAAGTGTTGGAATTCAAACCACAGTCATTGTGCCCCCAGAGCCTATTCACTTTCCTACAAGCCACTTAAACTCAAAACTGTCCTATTTTGATATTATGTTATTAGAAAGTTATTCATATATATGAATGATTGGAGCATGCTGAATAAAAATGTAACTTTAAGGATTTGTTAATAGAACACTATGTAATTTGTTAACAGTCACAAAACTTCTGTTTAGTTTCTAGTGTTTTTATCATTTAGACTTTGGTTTATAATATTTCTGGTTACCTGGAGAAAGAAATATGCATGATTGACCCACCCCAGGAAAGATAGGGGTAAAGACTCATCCTGCTTTATTGAGGAAAATGGGGAAGGATAGGCCTTAGCATACAGAAATCCCCAAAATGTTTCAAAATGATTGTCAGGAAGTAAAAATGAAAACAGTGTGGCAAGTGTGGATATGTGGGTGAATACATCTGTGTAGGTTTAGAATAATCATCTTAGATTCTAGTACAGTGAAAATGTAATTCATTTAAACAAATAATAATTAAAGGATTTTTTTAAAAAGTACATGACATACTGTTCTGCATACAGGAAACTTATATTCTAGCTGGGGAGCCAAGCCATACTAAATGAAAAGTTAAATAATGATACAAAAAAGCAAATATGTATCAAACATCACTCAATGAATCTATGAAAAGACTGAAGAGGAAATAACTATGATAAATATATGGGTAAGGACACTGGTAACAGTGTAAATTGTTCAACATCTCACAGCTAGGTGGTAGGCCTGGGATACAACACAGATATATCTCATAGCAAAAATTGCTCTCTGAAATGTAATTCAGTACTGCTTTCTGACCCTACTAATTTTCATTTTCTCATTCATAGACATCCAATTATATACCAGCATGCCAATAAGGACTGTATTATCTATTACTGTGTAACAAATTTCCACAAACTCAGTGGCTTAAAACAATCCCAATATTTTAGCTCCCTGCCCTGCAGGTCAGAAGTTTACCTGTGGTTTGGGTTCTCTGCTCAAGGCTGGAACCAAGATGTTAACAGGGCTGAATTCTCATATGGAAACTCTGGGTAACAGTCTTCCTCCAAGCTCATTCTTGTGAGCAAAATTTAGTTCCTTGCAGTTGCAGGACTGAAGTTCCTATCTCCTTGCTGATGGTCTTTCAAGGGCTGCTTTCAGATCCTAGATGTCCCTGTTTTCCTTGTTATGTGGCTCTGTAACTACAGATACAGATCAAACTGTTTGTAACAAAACCCAGAACAAAAGTTTATACCATTTATGAGTAACACTTAGGAATCTTTAACTGCTTCCTCCCCATAATCCTTTTGGTTACGTAGAGGGGGAAAAATATTCAGTATTGGCTCACCCCAGGAAATCAAAGGACCAGTACACGACAGCAACCTGAGCACAGAAGTGAAGGGTCTGTTGTCCAGGAAGATATGGCACTGAAACCCCTTAAAATCCTACCCTGAAACCTGGATCAGGGAGCCAGAATTGAACCTTTCCTCATGTCTCAGTGCCAGTTTACTAAAAGATAAAAGCCTTCCCCCCCTCCCTCAAAAGCCAGTGCCATGACTTCTAAGCACATTGGGCAGCGATCCCTTGCTTGGTAACAATCTCCTCCATCTTCAAGTCAGCAACAATGCATCAAACACTTCTTCTCATGCCTCTAATCTCTGACTTCTTCCAACTCTGACTTCTAGACCGAGATTTAAAGAGCTTTGGTGATTGCGTCAGACCCACACAAATAATCTCTCTCATAAGGTCAATTTGGGACTTTACCTCTGCAAAGTCCCTTTTGCTATATAATGTAACAAAATCACAGGAATGGCACCAATCATATTCATAGGTCAGGTTCTACCCACACTCAAAGGGAGAAAATTATATAAGGTCATTGGGGATCATCTTAGACTTCTGCTTACTACAGGGATTTTAAGAAACATATTTCCTTAAAGATATTTCCTTAAAATTATAAAGAATACAGCACAGAACTTGAAATAAGCACAAAAGACAATGAGGTTACATAAGAAAAAAAAAAAGGACAGTCAGGTTTTCACCAACAAAAATGTAAAATAACTTATTTCAAATAGGAAACCCTTGTTTTGAGAGCCTGGATCACTGTTGAACTCCACCCTTTTTCCCTCCACATTGACAGTTCCACTAAATGGGCAACTGCCTTCTGGAAGCCCCAGTCATTCTCTGCCTGAGGATTTTCTCTCAGCCATTTCCTGGGTGACATACCAGGGTGTTGATGCTCTGGGTACAGCCCTCAGCCAGTGATAGAAGTTGGTGAATGAGTATCAAGTTTCCTAACCTTTCAGGAAAAAATAAATAAAACAGAAAACAAAACTGGCATGTTCTACAGTCTCCCAGAGTTCCCTTACAAGAGAGTTCACTGATATATTATATGATAGTGGCAGTTGATATGACACACCTTTATAGGTTTTCTTCCTTTCCCAGTCTCCCCCTAACCTTGTTATCTGTGATCACCTTCCAGAATTTACACTTAAATTCTTGTCTTTTTTTTTTTTTTTTGATAGGTAGAATAATAATGAGTATATTTTTACATTTGGTTTGGTGGAAGATGAATGAACCTTTAATACAATTAGATGTAGATGCAAGGAACATGAGAGTTAGTATTAGTTTTATTATCTGTAAAATGAGGACAGTAATAGTAATCTCATTGTATTAAATGATGTAATGAATATGGGTAATCTGCCTGGCTCACAGAAGCCCAATTACTTGTTCCTTTTTCTGGAATCCTCAATGTCTTACTAGTATTTCTGCAGTTCTAGGAATCTGCTGTCCTGGTGAAAGTAGCCTGTCCTCCTTATATGTAGCTAACTGAGAGATAGTGGAGTAAGCACAGTTTTTCATACAATTATATTTTTTCTATAAAATCAGGACATTTTATTTAAAATAATTAAGCCTAATATTATACACCCATATATTTAAATTGAATAATATGTTTAGAACCATCTATACTAATTAAAGGATAATATGCAAATTGGTCAGAACGCCCTCACAGTAACAACCAAACAGCAGGCTGTGTGGGGCAACAAGACCAGCAGAGGGGTTAGTGAGGAACTACCAAAGGACTGAACAGTAGGCTGAGTGGGGCGACAAGGCCAGCAGTGGGATGAGGGGGGTCAGTTAGGAGCGATCAGGTAGGCAGACAGGTGAGAAGTTAGGAGCCAGCAGTCCATGATTGTGAGAAGGATGTCTGACTTCCCGTTTAGGCCCAACACCTCTGGGATCAGGCCTAAACCAGCAGTTGGACATGCCCCAAGGAGTTCTGGATTGGAGAGGGTGCAGGCTGGCCTGAGGGAGAACCATCCCTGTGCACAAATTTTGTGCACTAGGCCTCTGGTATATTTGTAATACCTAAGGTTTTGTTTGTTTGTTTGTTTTTCACTTCTTTCTGCTCTCCTTAAAAGTTCTCTGAATCTCTATGGCAGTACATCTAGTAGAAAAACAGCATTAAGGAGAAGTAAAGACTACTAATATGCCTTTTTACATGAACACCCACTCATATAGGGAACAAAGCAGCCACAGAGTTCATTTGAACGGTTTTCAGAAGGGTAAAACTCTGATTCAAACATAAACCAGATTTTTTTGGGGATTTTTTTTTTTCCTAATTTGGGCAATGATCTGAATCTAGATTCAAATCCACATCTTCTTACATATGCTGGGAGAACAGTTACACAAAAGTATTGAACAAAATGCTATTTTTAATGCCCAGTTAACCATATAAGGTATGGGATATCAGAATATTTATATCTTTGGCATCAAACATTCTGAATTTAAATCCCAGCTCTGTCACTTATTAATTACGTGACCTAACGCAAGGTAACCTTTCTATACCTTTTTTTTCTCTCATCTCTTTTATAGGGATGGTACCTCCCTGATAGGATTGGTGTAAGAATGAAATGATTCAATGCATGTAAAACAATTAAAGCAACTTCTTGCATAAGCTCTTTGTAAATATTAGCTGTTGTTATTTGTGCTGTTATTATTTGGTTAATGTACTCTCCTTGTGATGTGGTCTATCAACATAGGCAGGTGGACTATTTTTTTTCTCCTTTAGTGTATGTACTAGAAAGGTGTTGTTCTAAAGCTATTCACTTGTTCTAGAACTGTTCATTTGTCTGTGTCCCCATTAGACTGTCAGGTCTTTGAGGGAAGGCCTGTCCTTGCTAATTTTTATATCCTCTGTTTATTGAATAAATTATTCTGTACTATAAACTATATGGTTAGATAAGTTTTCTGTCCAAATTCATATGTTATACAACTAAGCAATGGATTCCAGGAGAAACTTTTTGGCAACTAGTAAGGGAACATAAAACATATTGGTTAAGTCAGTTATGCCACTTACTGGCCCTTTGACATTGGGGTGATGACTACATTAATCTAAGCCTCAGTATTTTCATCTACCAAATAGGTAGAATGACAGTTTTTATGGTGGTTGTGAGAATTAAATGAGATGATATGTCTCTAATGTCTACCACAGAGAAATCCTTCTTCTTAAAATTACTATTTCATTTCCCCCCCTTAATCCAAAGTTTTGCTCAACAAGAATTCGAAGACAACTGGACAGGAACCTCACTTTTCATAAAATGGTTGCATGGATGATTGCACTTCACACTGGTAAGTTTATTATAATATTTGAACTTTCAAAGAAAACTTGGAACCAAAGATTTCTTTCTATTCTTACTTTTAAAAAATAGGAGGTCAGCTTTTATACACACATTAAGTGGTGGTTACATATGTTGTATTTTTTATGAGTTCTGTTAAAAAATATTCAACCCTCTTTCCATTAACCCAACATTAGAATTTATTCCTTCAAGGCTTAACACTTTCTTATCTTGGGTTCCTCTGATAAAATCCAAGCATCTTCAACTTTTTTTGCAATTTTTATATAAAAAAATATTGGTTAGTCCACATATGAGAGCTTTTATTCATTCATTTAAAAAAATTCTTGTTTGAACATGTAGATTCTTGGATTTCTTGCAATAACTTTATAGAAGCCACAGCCTATAGAGAATCCCTAATGATGGAGTTAATAATTTAAACACTATATATATATATATATATATATATATATATATATACACACATATATATAAAAACACTTGTTTATATATATATATATATACACTATATATATATAAACACTTGTTTACCATATATATATATATATGGTAAACAAGTGTTTATATGTATTATATACAATATATTTTTGAATTATTAAGGTGGTGGTATTAGCACAAGAAGGGTTGTATCTGGCATGGCAACTATCATTAATAATACTGTATTTGAAAATTGCTAAGAGAGTAGATCTTAAATGTTCCCATAACAAGAAAATAATTCTGTAACTATGTGTAGTGATGGATGTTTTTGCAATATATACAACTATTGAATCATTATTCTATACATCTGAAACTTATGTAATGCAAGTCAATTATATACCAATTTTTTTTAAAGTGCTAAAAAAAGAAGGGATGGATCTGAGACTCTTATAAAATCTCCATTAGGTCACTTAATAAATAATTGAAGTGCCAGACTATAGGCATGCACACATACACAGTAATGAACAAAAAAAGACTTTTACTCTACCCTGAAGGAGTTTGTCCCTGAGTAAAATAGGCTTAGTTCACAGATGTTAAGTTGGATTTCTCATTTCCTACTGATCATGCAGAATTTCTGAGCTATGGCAAATGTAATATTTTAAAAGTGAAATATATGATAAAATCTTGTTAGAAAGCAACATAGTGTAATGGTTAAGAGCACAGATTTGTGGGCCAAACTGCTTGGATTTTATTTTTTAAAAATTCTTTATTGTTTAAATAATTACATGAGTCTCTCCCCGCCCCCCATTGATTTCTCCCTTGCCACCCTCTCCTCCAAGCACATGCATTTGGAATTGGATTTGATTCTTTTTTTTTTTTTAATATATATTTTATTGATTTTTTTTTTTACAGAGAGGAAGGGAGAGAGATAAAGCCAGAAACGTCGATGAGAGAGAAACATCGACCAGCTCCCTCCTGCACACCCCCCACCAGGGATGTGCCCGCAACCAATGTACATGCCCTTGACCGTAATCGAACCTGGGACCTTTCAGTCCGCAGACCGACGCTCTACCACTGAGCCAAACCGGCTTCGGCTGGATTTGATTCTTAAACCTGTTAGTTATTAGTTTGGTGACCTTGGGCGAGATTTTACAACAACCAATACCTCAGCTTTCTCATCTGTAAGAAGAGATGATAATAATTATATCTAAATCATTGACTCATGAGGATTAAGTATTTATAAAGCACAGTAGTTCTTGGCACCTAGTAAGTCCTATGGTGGTGCTTGTTAATCAAAGAGTGAAATTTAAAAAAAAAAAAGAGATTAATTATTATGCCCATTGGTTTATATCAGTTTTATATAATTTTGTCATCTCTTTCTGGACTAATGTCAGAGTTCAGTGAATAGAACAGTCAAAGATATATGTTACATGAGTCTCACTGTTTGAGCATAAATATATCTGGGTAAGAGAGACAACGACAGGACATCTAAGTATACTCAGAGACCAAGGTTATTTTATAGAATCTTAGAACTTAGTTAACTCTTTAGGATCATACAGTTCAACACCTTCATTTTGCAAATTAGGAAATCCAGATCAGAGAGGTTAAGTGATTTTTCTACACTCACACAACCAGAGAATAGCTTACCCACTAGAATTCCCTTGCCTCTCTGGTCCTGGAGACCCAGTTTTTTGTTTATAAGTGTATTGGGCCATCCTTGTGTTTCCCTATTCATAGAGTTAGAGGCTATAGGCAAACCCAGCTTACAATAAAATTTCCAACACTCTTTACCTTCTTTGTTTCTCTTCTCTGCCCTCTTTAGCAATTCACACCATTGCACATCTATTTAATGTGGAATGGTGTGTGAATGCCAGAGTCAACAATTCTGATCCTTATTCAATAGCACTGTCTGACATTGGAGATAAGCCTGGTGAAACTTACCTCAATTTTGCTCGAAAGAGAATAAAGGTAAGCCTCTTATTCCCTGATTCTGATGTTCCCTAGGTCAGAAAAAAATGCCAGGAATACATATCTAGACAAATAAAGTTGAATTTATTACTTTGTTACTTGCTGCAGCAAAAGAAACCTTACACCATGAGGAAATCTGGGGCATCTTAGAAGGATCTTAAAAAGGGGTTGTAATAAGACCTGGCTTGTGTTAGATAATCTGGGAAAGGCTTAAGCAAGCAAGGACTTGCTCTAGATCAGGTATGGTCAGGAATTGGGGGTAGTTTTAGGACTGGTTATCTTCATTCTTTTGAGGGGGTACAAGGGAATAGAATGGGGCTAAATATTTAATAGTAGTCACCTGTATTTCTTATACTGGTTCAGACATGATTTTGAATGGTTTTGTTTTTGCCTCACTCTGTAACAGTCACAGAATGATGCTGGCATTCTATGAAATTGTTTATGTGATATAGGGAACACTCTGGTCTAAGTGTCAGTACCAGGCCAGCTGCCAGGTGACAATTTATACTTTTGTTCTTTTTTACCTACAGCATCTAAGGTGTGTCCTCCTATGTCTGCTAATTGTCATTCCTTGATATGTACAGTGCACTGAGAATAACTCAGCAGTTCTCCAGGGGGATCCACTTGTATTCAAAGGAAAGGTCTTCTCCCCTTCCAGCAGTTGAAGCTTACTTATAATACTTACTTCTCCCTACACTCAGAGGGAGAAGCTCCAAGTGGTCTTCATGTGCCCAGTAGCTTGGGATAATGGCCAAATCATATCTCTGTGCACCAAATTTCAAACATGTTTCCTTCTGTTTTGAAAAGATTATAAGAAAAGTCTCTTAATTCTGAAGAAATAATTATCCTTGGACTTGACATGCAAAAAAAATTAGGGACAGAATGAAATAATATCAAACAAAACAGAAACTCTTTTTCTGTAATGTGTGGAATATTTTGCTTTATATTGTTCATTGTTTTTTGTACAATTATATATAAGGGTGGCATTATGAACATACAAGGTAACCAAGCCAACCAAACTGTGCCCAGATCCCTTTGGATCACTTTTACTGTGTCTGTGCTGCCCCACCATTCTGTGTGCTTTCACTTCCAATATCCTGTATAAGTGTGTCTTCCTCATAGGACCACCCTGGGGCTATTGGGATATTGGAGTCCCTTTACCCACAAGCTCAGAGAGCTAGAAAGACCTGGATAGCTACTTCTCCGTGGGCAGACCTTATCCAATAACTGATGGATGCAGGCCATGAAAGCCCAACTTCCTTGACTTGAGTCAGGATAAACTCTGAGTTGTAACTTACCATTTACAATAGTTTCCCTGCAGCATCAGAAGAAAGCTACCCTCTATAAGACTTGGCATGAGATCACTCTCTTACTTGACTTATTCATCTTTCCTGTCCTATTATCCATTCCCTTACCATTTTTTTCTGAATCACAACCTTTCTAAATCACTTGCCTAAGAATTCTGATCTTAGGGTCTGCTTTAGGGAAATGCAACCTAAAATGTTAGATATACCCAGAATTTGCAAACAAAGCACTGTGGCCATTTCCAAAACAAAGGGAAAAAGATATTGAGCTCCTTTTAGGCCAAGATCTTTAGGACAATAGACTAATTTGCTTTATTTGCTACACCTTTAGAACTATTTCAGTGTATCAATTCATATTTCCTATGACACCTCAACCATATAAGACTTTTTGAAACTGAGAAATATCTATTCCAAGTCTACATCTCTCTGTGAGAGATTATTAGGATTATGAAAAGGGAATTATAATACCTATTGCCTTATATATTGGACACTTTATATATAGGTATTCCTGGATTTGAGAGCCTACAAATAATGTGTATATGTATTTGCATTTTATAGAATCCTGAAGGAGGCCTGTATGTGGCTGTGACTCGGTTGGCAGGCATTACTGGAATTGTCATCACACTGTGCCTCATATTAATTATCACCTCTTCCACCAAAACCATCCGGAGGTCTTACTTTGAAGTATTTTGGTACACACATCATCTTTTTGTGATCTTCTTCATTGGTCTCGCCATCCATGGAGCTGAGTGAGTGTTTAAACTCCAGGGCCAAATATTTTATGTCAGGTGTGATGCTCTGTTAGAGGCACAGGGACCTCCTTGTCTGTGTGTGGTCAACTGTCTTCTGAGAGAATATGAGGGGACAACAGAGGTCAGTGTGGTAGAAACCACTCAGCAGCACTTTAGTTTCTTGCACTCAATTTATAGCTATTCACAGTGCTGTTATTTATAACAAAATTTAAAATACATAACAATTTGAGTATCTTTGCAAGCATATAAAACATGTTGAGAATGCACATACAGTCTTAGTGTCTGCTATAATGTTTCCTGTGGCTTAATTACTAACATATTAGACAAATTCCAAACTAAAAGAGTTAATGATTAATCAGTTGAAAAAGTTTGCTATAGTTGAAAGTTGTTATTCAAGCCAATCATTTATTGATTGCCTACTGTGTATGAGAATTGATCAAGGCATTGTGAAGAATTCTAGAAGGAAAATACATGGTATTGCCTTCAAACATTCTAATATAAAAGAGTTAACTTCTAGTGAGTATTTGTTATAGACATGAAATGTTTCTTTTAACCCCCAAGAGGTAGGAATGCTCTTACAATACCCATTTTCTGGGAAAATTGTAGATGTGGGGATAAGACTAAAAATATAAAATCTGTAGCCCAAGCCACCCAGTTTGTAAGTGGCATAGTTGGGACTGGAGCCTAGGTGGTCTAAGGCACCTCAGAGACACAGTGCCAGAACTTGTGATTGGAAGAGTTTGCAGTTTCTCTTATTCTTTTGTAATTTCAACCCTCATTTTGTAATGTGTTACCCATATTGCCAGAAGCTCTTTGGGGGGATATTTTCTCTTTTTCCTTTCTTTCTTTCTTCCTTCCTTTCTTTCTTTCTTTCTTTCTTTCTTTCTTTCTTTCTTTCTTTCTTTCTTTCTTTTTCTTTTCTTTTTTTTTGTAATGAATTTCATTGATTTTTTTTTAATTATACAAAGGAATAGCTACCTTAAATTTTAGCTCTTCAAAGTACAATTGAGAATCTTTAAATGAGACTTGATCATAATCCAGCTGTTTCAGAGAATCCTAGAGGGGAAAAATGCCCCCTCTCTTATTTAATAATTCCACAATTGTACATTCATATAATTTCATAGATAAGCATATTTCTTGGAGCAGGCAGAGAAGTAATATTTACCCATTTTCTATCTACTACTTACACTGGTGGACTGATTGCTTACAGTCTTATGACTAGGTGATAGCTGAACTGGGTTTAAAATCCAGGCTTTCTAATTTCTGATCCTGGCTTCGAGAAGGAGAAAATTATTTTTTATTTCTTCCTCTCCATGTAAGGGTGGGCATTAAGAACTTAAATAGTTGTCATTTGTTGAACACTTACTTTGTATCTGGAATTTGTTATGCATCATGCCAATTGATTGTTAAACTAAATATTTGATGAGGTCCTAGTGAACCTATTTTATAGTTGAGGCTGAGGTTCAAACGATGTTCAATACCTTGTCCAAGTTCACCTTGGATTTGAAACCAAGACTGCTTGGCTTGGGTCCAGAACTATTTTCACCAGATCATACAGCTTCTAGTTACTTAGTCTCTCTAAGCCTCATTGTCGTCATATGTGAAATGGGAGTATTAATACTTACCTTTTATCCGAAACTGGTTTGGCTCAATGGATAGAGCGTCGGTTTGGGGACTGAAGGGTCCCGGGTTCGATTCCGGTCAAGGGCATGTACCTTGGTTGTGGGCATATCCCCAGTAGGGGGTGTGCAAGAGGCAGCTGATCTATGACTCTCTCCCATTGATGTTTCTAACTCTCTATATATCTCTCCCTTCCTCTCTGTACAAAATCAATAAAATATATTTTAAAAAAATACTTACCTTTTAGGTTTGTTATGAGGATTAAATGAGATAATTTGATACAATGCCTTTTCCTAGGCCAGATATATAATAGATGCTCAATACATGGTAATTTCTTCCCCAAGATCTAGGGATAGAAAGGATGGTTAAGGTCCTTGAATTAAAACATTATCAGAATATCACAAATGGCACAATAAATTTTAGGTCCCTAACAAACTTCTACAAAGGGCCTTCTATTTCTCTTCTTATTACATGTTCTGAAGACCCTGCTATCTATGTTTCTTGAGGTCAGGGACATGACTTCTTTAACTTTGTGCCTCCCTTGCTATATCCCACTAAGCCTGTATTGTCTTAAGTTTTAGTAGTTGCTCAATTAGTATTTATTGAAGTGAATGGGCTCTGAGCACTTCAAGGGAGAAACCATTAGTGTTCATGTCTGTGAGAATGTCTTAATCTCCACAAAGTTAAGCCATCTTAAATTGAACTCAAACTTTTGATTTAATTTAGACAATTTTGAAACAAATAAAGCACTTGTACCAAGCCTCATGGCTATTGTTTATAACTGCAAGGGTTGTCAGCTACACAAGGGTGCCTGCTCTAGATTAATAAAATTAGACCATGTTCTGTAGGACTGGCCTCACAGAGGGAGCATCTTGTTCTAAACTGCATAAAGGCACTGTATGTGATAGCAGTTGATTTATTAGATTTGTAGTTTTTTGTTTGTTTATAAATGAAAGTAATTCTAGAAACAGAAGCACAAATGCTCCCTTTTAGAAAACATATTGCTGAAACCGGTTTCAGTGGATAGAGCGTTGGCTTGTGGACTGAAGGGTCCCAGGTTCTATTCTGGTCAAGGGCATGTGCCTTGGTTGCGGGTACATCCCCGGTGGAAGGTGTGCAGGAGGCAGCTGATTGATGATTCTCTCTCATCGATGTTTCTAACTCTCTATCCCTCTCTCTTCCTCTCTGTAGAAAGTCAATAAAATATATTTAAAAAAAACCCACACATATATTGTTCTAAAACTTCTGCTTTATAAGGTTGCATATAATTATTTGTGTCATTGTACATGATTTTTTTTCTACTGCTAAAGATCATATATTTTCTTTCCTTTTCTTTAATCTATTTGGAAGGAGCAATAAGATATAACATCTTAGTGAAAAGCACAAGACCCATATTAGAATATTTAAAATGTACCCAGCCCTGGCTGGGTGGTTCAGTTGGTTGGAGCTTTGTCCTATACACCAAAAGGTTTGGGGTTCATTTCCCAGTCAGGGCATATACCTAAGTTACAGGTTTGATCTCTGGTCAGGGTGAGTACAGGAGGCAACAGATGCAATAGATGGATGTTTTTCTCTCACATATTGATGTTTTTCTTCTTCTTCACTCTCTAAAATAAATAAAACCATCTTCTCAGTTGAGGATTAATTAAAATATGCACAGACTGTCAAGAAATTTGCTTAATTTCCTACTACTAAATGATCTGTACTTATATTTCTTCTCTAGGCGAATTGTACGTGGGCAGACTCCAAAGAGTTTGCAGGAGCACAATCCAAAAAAATGTTATCAAAACATCTCAGATTGGGGGAAAATAGAGGACTGCCCAGTCCCTCAGTTCTATGGCAATCCTCCTATGGTATGTACAATTCATTGTTGCTGTTACAGTTTCATTACCAAACCTTCAAACTGTGTCTAAGAAATACATACAAATGTCATGGAGTTGTTCATTATAAATGTCATGGAACTGTGAGAATGTTATAACTATCTACTTTTTTTCTACTGAAGTTAGCATAGAATTATTTCTTAAAAAGTAAACTTTGCATTGGTCTTTTATGAATGTCTTGATATAAAAATCAGAAAAGCATTGTTTTTGAAAGTGCTCTTTGGGATCAAGAAGTTCTATCTTTTTTCTTCTGGATGTGAAGATCACAATAATATCAGTTAATGATTTTCAGAGGAATTCCATCATGAGCTGAGTTGGGTAGTTTAGATAATCACGTATAAGGAGCTAGAAAGTAAGTCTTTGGATTTTGGAAGGAAATCAATGAGGTGACACATAGGGTTGCCTTTAGGCACCTGGAGGTCCTGTCAAGGAGGCATAAAAAAGGTTGGTCAGCCAGGTTCATACTAACATGCAATGGCATTGTGGCAAGAGTGACAAAGAGGAAATATGCTCAAACATTTACTTTCTTTTGTTGGGAGTTCCAAAGAACTCCATTTTGTGCATTATTTATTTTTTATTTATTTCTATTTATTGATCATCACCCCAGAAGTGAGGATATTTTTTCCATTGACCCTTCAAGAGAGTAGAAGGGAGTGGGAAGGGGAGAGAGAGAGAAACATTGACATCCATTGGCTGTCTTCCATTTGCTCCTTGACCGGGACTCTGGAATGGAACCTGCATCAGAGGTATGTGCACTTGAATGGGAATCGAACCAGCAACCCTTTGGTCCATTGGCCAATCTCTAACCATTTATCATACCAGCCAGGGCCATTTTGTGTAATCTTAATATCTCTGTTCTATAGAATTAGAAGTGGGCCCCTCCCCCCACTTTGTAAAGCAGTACACTTTATTGGTTATTATTCTAACCATTGGTATAAAGCTAGAAAAAAAAATCAACATTTGTATAGGGCTTCTGAGCAGAATTATTTTTTTTTTCCTTAAGCCTAGTATAATACAATGGTAAATTTCCCATTTCATTTCATTTCCTCTTTTCTTTTTTCCTGCTCTACTAATATAGGACTACTCTTACTTTAGACACAGCATGTTCTCTGAGGTTTAACATCTTTAAGCATCCTTGCTCAATACTGAAAGCAACCAGACACCTCAGTGAACTGTCCCCAGTATCTGAAGACATCAACAGAAATTATAAAAAGGGAACTGTATTTCAGGTTCTCTTTATAAGCTGGATGAAGGCATATTTCCTTGAAGACAGCTGGAGCTTCTGGGTTCTGGGGGATATTAGAGGCAATGTCCAAGACCTGGCTCCATTCAATGGAATCCCATGGTGGCACCCAATAAATAGATAGATGGTCCCAGACTGTTTTAAAAGCCTGTGCCATGAAAACAAAGGCCAGAAACAGAACAATACTGACTTTTGGGGTAGATATTTTTCAACTGTGGCTAGAGAGGGGAACATTTAGGTGATAGTGCCTTTTAAAACTCTTTGCTACTTCAGGTATTAAATTAGGTACTCTCAACTTCCAATAAATAGTTTCTAAAAATAATTTAATAGAAAGATCATATATGAGACTATGAGAAGCACTTTGTGGTTTTATTTTCTTCTTGGAATCCATTCTGGAATGTCATCTTTTAGATGGTATTTCCTTCTAAAATTCTTTACTACTTCAGGTATTAAACTAGAAACCTAACTTACTGAGTCTAGGAATGGATTTATCTAGCATAAATGTTTCCATATAGCCAATAATGCTATAAGGTAATTCTAGTGTTCTGAAACACCACCAATTCTGACAAGTGGGGAATCTAAAAAAATCTGAAAATCTGTGGGTATGTCCCTATTCAGCAAGTGCATTGCATAGTTCCTAGGAACTTACAAGAATATTGGAGAAACAGTTAAATTCTTACATAAAATTTCTCATCTTGCAAAAGTCTCATTTTGACTACATAACAACTGAAAGCATTTGCAATATTGCATTAAAAATACGGTATTGCTGAAATGCTATCTTTTAGAGAAATGTTGATTCTGAAACCAACCTTGCTCTGCTGTAGGGTTATTGCAGCTGCTGTTGCAATACTAGGAGGAAGTCCCATTCTTGTGCACAGTTCCTCTTTGGAAAGTTTCATACTGTAGATATGAAACTTTATGGCCTTGCCCAGTTCCACAATATGACCTTGGAGAATATTCATTTTTACTGGCTCAATGTTTAAATTTAATTTTAGATTTTTTTTTTTGCTTTCTATTGTAGAACACATTTACTAATATAAATTATTTTAAAAGGCTACAAAGGTTATCTTGACTTCTAAAATGTTTTGTCCCCATGAATCTTTTATTAGCTATCACCCTTTTATTAAATCTTTCCTTCTGATTATAGACTTGGAAGTGGATTGTGGGTCCCATGTTCCTGTACCTCTGTGAGAGGCTTGTACGGTTTTGGAGATCTCAACAGAAGGTGGTCATCACCAAGGTATTAGCTGGTTTTAAAAATTACTAATAGAATCTAACTATAGCATGGAAAAATCTCCCCAAGTTCTCTATAACATTTGGTCAGAGCTCTTTTTTACTCAGTTTTTTAAAAATTATTATTAAGCTTAGAGCAGAGAGATGAACTAGTTAATTTCAATGCACTTAGCTTGATAATCAAATGGTTGGTTCTTTTAACTGGATAAACTAGAAGTTCACATTTTCTGTTGAAAAATGAACCCAAATGTTTTGTGTAAATGAATGTGGTGTGTGTGTGTGTGTGTGTGTGTGTGTGTGTAGATGGGAGGGACATAAAATGATAATGTGATTAGTTAAGAGTGGAGAAACAAGAGGAGTGCAAAAGAGCATACATTGAGCCTTAAAATATTCAGATGCCAAAAGAACCAGGGAACTTTGGTTGAGGTTGAAATAGCTTCCCAGGTCCCTTTACCTCATTTTCTGTGCTTTGTATGTGATCATAGACTAAAAAATTAAAGTGCCCATAGTCTTAAGCAAGTTACTAACTAAACTGCATCAAGAATTGAGTCTTAAAAAATAAATAAATAAACTTTCTCTCATTAAAAAAACTAATTGAGTCTTCTAGCTTAAGTATACAGTGGTTTTCTCCCCAATAATCTATGATGCTTCTCATCATTACATTAATAAATAATATCTAGCTAAATAAATAGAAATTTAAATTTATTATTGTTTCAGGAAACACCAGACAAGACTATATATATATTTAAAGCCACATATAGAAGGTTCATTAGAGCATGTTCTCAGGAGATGAACCTATTAAAGAAAAGAAAGTCAAGATTGGGAAAGGAAAAAGCTGACTCTAAATATGGTTGTATATATATTGATTTCAGAGAGAGGAAGGGAGAGGGAAAGAGAATCATTGATTGGCTGCCTCTGGAATGTCCCCCCCCCCCCCACTAGAGATCCAATCAGGGATGTGCCATGACCAGGAATTGAATCCTGACCTACTGGTTCATAGGTCAGTGCTCAACCACTGAGCCACACTGGCTAGGCAGACAAGACTATTTTTGTCAAATAAAATTTAATTCAATTCAGTTCACTTCAAAAAGTATTTACCAAAACACTACTATGGCTTATTTTTGCAATATGCACAAATTCTTCCTATCCTTCACCCTAACTTTTCTTTCTTGTCAACTTAGGAAGGTCATAGTAAAGACGGTCCATCTGGCATTAGAAATCTGGACATACAAAAAGTCACAAAAGTTCTCTTTTTATGATACCTATATTGTACTATAAGAAAAATCCTATAGATCAACAAAAAAGAGCTACATTAAAATTTCCCTTCCTAGACTAGAACTGACTAACCAAGTAAGTGTTCCCTTAAACATATTTTTAAGGCAAACTATTTTCCTTTGAAGAAAATAGACACTAATCTTCTTCTTATATAAACACACTTAAGAAACAATGCATGATCTATAAGTATTCCAGTGATAAAGCTGTCCCCTAGCACATTTTATTAAATTCAATCCTAATTTTGCCTGTGGTAGCAAAATTGCTGTATGGTAAAAATTTGTTTCACCATATAATATTGCAACATGGTAAACAGAATTTTCAAAATAATCTTGATAAATTTTTATTTTCTGTTTTCAAAATGAAGCTTTATAACTCCATTTTAGTGATGAAGGGAAGTTGGTTACAGCTTTATCATATAAGATATATTTAAATCACAAGTTTCAAAATGCTTGGCAATTGTTATTAAAAGGAATTCCCATTCTATTTTTTCTCAATGGTGAAAAGAAAAGCTCAGCAAGATTAGTCAACATTGGGAAACTGCTATTTTTTTCTATTTATTTTTCTTCCCTTGTATATCTCTTAATTTGTTTTCAGTTGTACATATGAAGTCCTAGGCTTTTCAGAAATCATCAAAGAAACAATATATTACTTTCTGTATTGAAATGAAAGCTTTCTATTGTGTCCTATTTTTAAAAATTATTTACTGACTCACCAATTAATGTACATTTGTACTGTTCCCCTCCCCTTTTTGCTATTATAAACAAAGATGTTATCAAATTCCATGTATTGTATATGGATTGATGGCAACAGGTAGGTAGGACTTTGAGAAAGATAGTGTATTCCTCAAATAGGGAGAAATGTACAAACAATGCCTAGAGTCAGACAGGTTTGAGGTGTGACTCAGGACGAAGGCAGATAAACATAGTTAGACTTGATTTGGGAGATGTTGCTGTAACTCACCAATAGGGTCTTCTTCTTCTTCTATCCAGATGCTAAGGCTCTCATTCCCTGGGGAGACAGGAAGACTGAGCAGGAAATCATCACTTCTTTCTGTTTCTAGCCCCTGCCTTGACTTCTTAGAGAGAAAAACATGCCATGATAATAAGCTGGTTCTTAGGTTCAATTCCCTTGTAAGACTCTGAAACAGAAAGCTACATATACAAGATTTATTGGAACATGTGCTCAGATGAACCTATCAAAGAAAAGAAAGGCAAGATTGGGAAAGGAAAAAAGCTGACCCTAACTATGGTTGTAATTTCAGTCTCAGATGATCCTACAGAGAGTGCTGGAGTTAGTATGGCCTCTTGGAGTTGTCCCAAATTGAGGAAAGGGGCCAAGCCTCTCTTCTTAGGCATCAGCTTATCATTGGTCATAGGCTACAGCTGAGGCCAATGCCCAAATGAGAGAGATATCTGCTGCAAGAAATGCTGTGTTGGCCCTGAAGAAAGGACCTGGGTGTGGCATTTTAGTTCAGCTCATCCATACAGACACTGAAAAGGCAAATTTTGGGGAAAGTGTAGTTTTCAGAGATATGTTTTGTTCTGTAGGTGGTGACTCATCCTTTCAAAACCATCGAACTACAGATGAAGAAGAAGGGATTCAAGATGGAAGTGGGACAATATATTTTTGTCAAGTGTCCCAAGGTTTCCAAGCTGGAATGGCACCCTTTCACACTGACCTCTGCACCTGAGGAAGACTTTTTTAGCATCCATATCCGCATTGTTGGGGACTGGACAGAGGGACTGTTCAATGCTTGTGGCTGTGATAAGCAGGAGTTTCAAGATGCCTGGAAATTACCTAAGTGAGTACAAAGCACATATAACAAAAGCGTATGAGTTCAGGAAAAATGACACTAAATAGCTCCTCTTCCCCCATCTCTCACTATCTCCTGAGTTTGACAAAATACATAGCTTCTACAAATATAGGTAGCTATCTCTATGTTCCCCATTTTATGTGTGTGGTGTATTTGTTCACATATTTATAAATATTATATGAAAGGTAAAATATTTGAATCAATTTCAATATATATGGATCAAGGCCAAGGTATATTAATCTTTCTAACAAGCAAACATAGTATATTAAAGATGTTCTTAAAATATAATTGGTGCAGTGAAACCAAGATGGCAACACAGGTAAACACTTAAACTGCTGCCTTGCACAACAATTTCAAAACTACAACTAAAAGACAAAATAGACATCATCCAGAACCACAGGAAGGCTGGATGAGTGGAAATTCCACAACTAGAAGGAAAGATAAAAGCACACTGAGACTCAGAGGAGCTGTGGGAGGCAGAGGTACTGAGACTCAAGCATGGAGAGGACTGGCAACTGAGTGCATGGCTGGCTTTCTCAAGAGAGAGGGAGACAAAAGCTCCTGACTGCACTGAACTCCAGTTCCAGGTGAGACTCTGGGGAATCAAACTCATTTGGGGAGAAACTGTACTGTCTGGCAGTGGGCAGAATGCCAGGGCAGCTTTCTCTCAGAGGTGCTTACAGCGATTACCATGGGACCATGAGACACAGGAGCCTATTGGGGCACAGCTGATGGGAAACCAATGCTGTCTGCTCCACCCTGAGATCTGCACCATCCAAGTTGGGCACGAAGGCTTTTGCAGGTCTTTGTGTCTCTAGCACAGAAGTTCTCCCAGCATAGACTCAGCTGATCCACACAGCTAATTGGCATGGAGGTCAATTCCTCCCAGTGATACCAACAACAATCAAAGTTTAACTACAAGACTGCACACAGACCACAAAGGGGTGCACCAAGAGTGTCCACATCAGGTAACTGGGGAGGCTGAGCCACTGGACCCTATAGGACACCTAGCACACAAAGCCACTCTATCAACTCAGGGAAGCAGCCAAAATGCAGAGACAAAGAAACATCACAAATGAACAAAATGTAGGGAAGCAAACTACAGGATATATAGTTCAAAACCACATTAAAAGCAGCAAGAGTGGCAAGAAATATTCAAAGTGATGAACAGCAAGAACCTACAACCAAGAGTACTCTACCCAGCAAAGCTATCATTCAGAATTGAAGGTCAAATAAAGAGCTTCACAGACAAGAAAAAGCTAAAGGAGTTCATCACCACCAAACTAGTATTATATTAAATGCTGATAGGTATTATTTAAGAAGAGGAAGAAGAAGAAAAAGGTAAAGATAAAAATTATGAACAACAAATACATATCTATCAACAAATGAATCTAAAATCAAGTGAATAAAAAAAATCTGATGAACAGGATAAACTGGTGAATATAATAGAGTCAGGGGCATAGAAATGGAGTGGACTGACAGACAATTCACAGGGGGAAAGAGGTATTGGGGGTACAGAAAGAGACAGGACAAAAATCATACACCTATGTTTGAGGACAGTGGGGCAGAGGATGGGGTGGGAACCAGGTTGAGGGGAGCTCTGGGGGGAAAAAAGAGGAACAATTGTAATAATCTGTACAATAAAGATTTATTAAATTTAAAAAAATAGTATGTAATTGGTGCATGTTATTTGAGGGTAAATGCCATGTATCATTCATTTTACCTCCTTCTCCTCATATGCCTAACGTGGTATTAGGCACTTGGTGGATGCTGAAAAAAAGTTTGTTGAATAACTCAATGGATACACAGATGAAAATTGGACACATTAAAGCTACAAGATGTTTTGATATAGAAATTTCTCACTTAAATTCAATGTGTAATATAAGCAGAAATTTCAAGCATGGGACACCCTGACAAGAAATAGTATAGACATGTGTGTATGTGAGGAGGCTGTGAGTGAAGGGGGATGAGGAGATGAACAAAATACCCTTGAGAATTACCAAATGTTTTCAATAAGCTAAGAATTCCTACTTCAAACTCCAATGTTCATACTAAGTTGGTTACTTGAAAGCTGTTTCACAAAGTAAAGTGTTCCAAATCCTGGTTTGAAGTGACATATTGCAAACCCCTAGGAATAATATGTGCCCCATCACACTCTGAAGAGTAGGATATGTCTGTAACCATCTCCTCTTATGCTTCCCTTCAGGATAGCTGTTGATGGACCCTTTGGCACAGCCAGCGAAGATGTGTTCAGCTATGAAGTGGTGATGTTAGTGGGAGCAGGGATTGGGGTCACACCCTTTGCATCCATTCTCAAGTCAGTCTGGTACAAATATTGCAATAATGCCACGAATCTGAGGCTCAAAAAGGTAGGTTCCATTATTGTTGAGAGGGCTTGGAACATTCATTATACTCTGGCAGGTGAAGGCTGAGAGAGCCTTTGTGGCTGAGGGTGGCAGGGACCAAGGGAAGTGTAGGCCCATTAGTAAAAGTAGTATACTGAATTTGTATATTATATATAGAATGGTACATTACAAGAAATTTGGAAGAAAGAAAGTTGTAGTAGAGAGAAAGTATTTACAATCCCAATCCAATAGCTATCCTTGTTTGTATATTCTCTTTCAATATTCCCCACATGTTTACATATTTTTAGAAAATTGTAAATAATGCTGATGTAAAATTTCATGTCCTGTTTTTCTAGAAACAGTGGTTTTCTATGTTGCTGCAGGCTTAACAGTAATTATTTTAATGATTTCTTTATGTTCCATTGAGAGGATATAGGATATTTTTTCTATCATCCTAGGTTAGTGACCAAGATCAATTTCATTTTCAGCCTACCAATACTTTTGTTGCAGGAAGAGGGCAGGAGACATGTCTTTCATGTAACTTTTACTTTCTTAGGATAACTCTTCAGAATAATTTCCCAGAGGATTTTTTTTGTCCCATGTAAATTTGGTTTCATTATATGATAAAGGACATCTTTAATGAAATGAGACATTCTAATAACCCTAGATATTACATCTAATGGGAACATTAAACTTATCATGACTTTTGATTCTCCCCTTTTTTTATTTTCTATGTGAGGAAGGTTTGGGTAGAAATATTTTTTTCCTTAGGAACTCAGGAATTTTGGATAGTAGCAGACAGGGAATTAGTTCTATGATTTGAGGTTCTAGATTAGTCTAGATTGTAGTGGTCTTTCTGAGAGGAGGTATGAGGGAATCCAGAAATTCTGTGAAGGCAGGAACAGACCTAGAGAGAAAGAGTTGAGCTAATATTTTTCTTAAACTTTGTATGTTTGAAGCCAAGCTATTCATTTATTGCCTAGCCAATGTGAAGGCCAGAGCAGGTTCATGTGAACTAGCTTGTCAAATGTCTATAGCTTTCTAAAAACTTCTTTCTAAACCTTTTGAGCAACAAGAAAAAGTTGGGAAGAGGTAAGTAATCCATGTGTCAAGACTGACAGGGCCTATATAATAAAGAGCTAATGTGCAAATGGTCATTGTATTCTCGAGCCCTCATGTCCTTGTACCTCAGCTAAGGTGGGGGGGGGGGCTTGAGGCTGGGCCGGGGGACTTGAGGCTGTGCCCCCACCCTGGTACCGGGGCCAGGAGGACCTGAGGCCATGCCCCCCACCTGGAGGGGCTTGATGGGGGACCTGAGGCTGTGCCCTCCTGCCCAGCGGGTCTTGATGGGGGTGGGGCCAGCCAGGTCTTGGTCTCACATGATTTCCAGGCACATGCAGGTGGGCGGGGACTTAACTCTGGGCCCCACAGTGTGCCCCAGACTCTGACAGGAAGGAGATTTCATATATATTTTACTAATTTTCTTTCATCTCTGACACTTCTATTATAGCGAAAGGGCAAATAGCAATATTAAAATATTTCCTCTAATTAATTCCCTTTTAATGTACATGAATTTCATGCACCAGGCCACTAGTTTAAATATAATCTGCTTTATGATCTGTCCTCTTTCAGATCTACTTCTACTGGCTCTGCCGGGACACACATGCCTTTGAGTGGTTTGCAGACTTGCTCCAGCTGCTGGAGACCCAGATGCAGGAGAGAAACAATCCTGGCTTCCTCAGCTATAACATCTACCTCACTGGCTGGGATGAGTCACAGGTGAGGACAAGATTTCAAATTTCAGATCATTCCCACAGTGCCCAGGGCTTACTGACTTCCCTTTGGCTATTGAAGTGTCTTCTGCACTGTTTTTACTAAGAACAGTTGATTGATTCCGGTGATTCAACCCATTCACTCTCACTCAATATCCCCACACATTCAGACTATTGAGATGATATTTTAAAGTTGATATCTCTGGAATAGATCAAAGCTAAGTTGCTGACAAGGAATAAAAGCCAAGACTAACCTTATAGGATAAATGACACCACAAGGGGTCTCAAACAAGGTAGACCAGAGGATCCACAGGGTAATGAGAAGATAGTATTAGCTCTCTCTCTCTTTTTCTCTTTATATCTACACACATATACATACATACCTTTAATTTCCAGTGTATGCATGTTTTATAATATACATAATACATATACTATGTGCCAGGTATTCTTTTAAAAAAATACATTTTTATTGATTTCAGAGAGAGGAAAGGAGAGAGGGAGAGAGATAGAAACATCCATGAGACAGAAACACCAATTGAGTGCCCCCTATTGGTAATAGAGCCAACCTGGGCATGTTCCCTGACCAGCAATCAAACTGTGACTCCTGGTATATGGGTTAACACTCAACCACTGAGCAACGCTGGTCAGGCCCTAATAGTGTTCTTAGTGTTTATATAGTTTGTCCAATTGAATCCTTATAACAACCCTATGAAGTAACCACTATTATTATCCACATTTCACAGATGAGGAAACCAACGCACAGAACAAGTTAGGTCATTTTCCCAAGAGTATCCAAGTAGTAATTAGCAGAGTCATAATGTTCCAGAGCAGCACTCTTAGCAACTTCTAGTAGTTTGCTATTATCATTTGTAGATAAAACAAAATATATCTAACAAAGGTGACATATATATGTCACACACACATATATATAATATATATGTGTGATATATATATAATATATCACATATATATATAATATATATATGTATATGTATGCATCTCCTTCCTCCAGGGACATTTAGCAATGTAAGCATTCTACAATTCACAAAACAACCCTTCACAACAAAGAATTATCTAGTGCTACATGACAAAAGAGCTTCAATTGAGAAACTCTAAAACAAGTTAATTCCAAGAGGAGAGCATTTATAAATAAGCAAACATTAATGACTTGCATGGAAACAGCATAAGTTGTCACTCTGAGAGAAGAGCTACAGCAAGAGTCTATGCCTATTCCTGTGTCTCAGTGGCTCCTCAATCCTGGGCATCTTTCCCATGCACCATGTACCTTGAAAATTGATTTTTTCTCATTTGGGTTTTGGCATATTGTTTAGCATAAATTCTCCAAGTCTTAGAAGAGTCTTGTTGCAAATGGGCCAGGGACACATAACCATGAAAATTGCTAGTCCATAAAAATGGTTTTAAGATGCAACTTCTGCAATTTAAAAACAAAACAACAACAAATACTTGATAAAAAGTGAAACCGAGAAAAAAGAAAAGAAAAAAACACATGAAAATAAAGAAGGAAAAAAGAAACCCAGAAAAAACTCTATAATATATAAATTGTTTTGCAGTTTTGATATTTAAAAAGCCAGATAAAGTTTTTGATGGGAAATTTATTTGTATTGAAAAAGGATTATTTTTGCTTTGCAAAAATAGTCTCTACAGGATTATTAAACCAAAATAACCACCCTTCTTACTTCATTCATTTCCTGCCCAGAGAATGTAAAATCTGATTTAATTTTAAAATACATTTAATTAGCTGCTTTTATGAAAAATATCTATGTTCAAACTGAAGATCCCTAAAATGGTAGCAGAAATCAATATGTGACATATACACACAAACACACACACAGCTTTAGGCTTGATTTCATGTCTCATGATGTTATCAAAATATGAGTGCATTTTAGTCAATGGTTGTTTTAAATCTTAGTGATTCCCCTAAAGAAGTGGGAATGGAAATATATTAGTGCAAAGAAAGAAAGTACTAATAGAACAGATGAGATACAGAACCAAAAGAAAAACAAGTGAGACAGAAAATTTGAATCCTAGCCACACTTCAAAGACTGAATAGCCTCCTACCCCAACTCCTTTGCTCTCATTGAGATGCTTGTGTCTCTTCCAAAGCACTCATCATACCCTATTCTATAAATATGATTATTCATGTTGATATTTCAAGGTATGCCCTCCTAGTTTATCAATTGCATGAGGAGACCTAGTTTTTTCTTTTCTTCTTTTTTTTGTAATCCTCACTGAAGGTATTTTTTCCATTAATTTTTAGAGAGTGGAAGGGAGGAAGGAGGGGGAAGAGAAGGAATCATCCACATGAGAGACACACTGATTGGTTGCCTCCCTCATGAGCCCCGACCAGGCTGACGCTCTAACCACTGTGCAAACTGGCTAGGGCTGTTGATCTTTTTTATCTTCTACCCTACAGCATGCCTTAATCCAAATATATAGGTCGTTTGCCCTTGCTTTGTGATATATGTAAATATTTCAGAAAAAAATAAACATGTTTCTACAGCATGTCTTTTTTTTTTTTTCTGAATTCATTTCCTATTCTGCAGGCTAATCACTTTGCTGTGCACCATGACGAAGAGAAAGATGTCATCACAGGCTTGAAACAAAAGACTTTGTATGGACGGCCCAACTGGGATAATGAGTTCAAGACAATTGCGAGTCAACACCCAAAGTAAGGCATTTTCTGCTTCAAGGTGTTATTGAGGCTTGTGGTCTGTCTAAAAGCAGCAGCTCCCAAATATGGCTATATTTGTATATTGAAAATAAAACTACCCAGATTCTTATATTTATACCTAATGGAAGGTTCTACATATCTCTGACTTCAAGATGAGTCTTTCAATCACATCAAAATTACCTGGAGAGTTATTAGAAACAAAGATTCTCAGGCCCCCACCTTGAATATTCTGAATCCTATTCCTCCCAAGTAGGACCATAAGTTGGTTCTTTTCTTTCACCTTCAAAATTTCACTAGGGTCTCTACTGCTTTTAATTCAATACAATTTATACATATTAAGGAGACTGTCCCCACTTTCAGTTTTAGCTTTTGGGTCTAAAATCATAAATTGACAGACATCCTAAGGTCCTTTCTGCCCTCACTAAAGCTTTAGCCATCAAGAAACTTTGAGGGGATCCTTTATCTTGCTGGAATACATTATAAACTCAAGAAATCTCTGCAAATATACCCTTAAGGTGATTGCTTACACTTTAATGAGCTTATGAATCACTTGAAGGATCTTTTCAAAATACAGGCACTGATTTAATAATCTAAGAACCTGCATTATTAAAAGCTGTCACTGAGGCTACTGGTCTGAAACCACTCCTTGCAGGGATTCAGACTCTCGAATGTAAAAAAATAAAGCCACACCAAGCTGTGGACAGAGTTGGTGTACTTAAAGTGGATTTGTTCCTGATTTCAGGATGCTGGGGAGGGTTGGGAAGACACAGAGCTCTGAAGGGAAGTAGCTCACAGACTCACAAATTCACCATTTTTTTTTTTATGTAGAGGTTTCTATAAACCTTGCTTGAATGTCATTTTCCAGAGAAGTTAACTGCCATTTTAGTATCTTGCTGTCCTCACAAACAGCTGAGCAGCTCTCCCACAGGGCAATCTAAACCCAGCCATTTGTGCAAAAGAAAAAGGAACAGAGCTCTGCCCTGAGGCCTAAAACCATTTGGAGATCCCCCTAGGTGCTGTGTAATCTATGGCATCCCAAAACCTGAAACTGTCTTTTCTTTCTTTCCTCAAAGTACCAGAATAGGAGTTTTCCTCTGTGGACCTGAAGCCTTGGCTGAAACCCTCAGTAAACAAAGCATCACCAACTCTGAGTCTGGCCCTCGGGGAGTGCATTTCATTTTCAATAAGGAAAACTTCTAATTGGTTTCTTTCATGAGAAAATATATGTGTGTTATGCTATTGAATGCCCAAATAATGCTAGCTGATTATGTAAGTTCCCCCCTAAAAATGGAAAAAAAGAAATTCTAATGTGAAGGTTTTCCCTGAAAGGAATGTCAGATTGTTTGGTTGTGATAATTAGCATTTGAATGGGGCTTTATCGTTTTCAGACCACTTTTATAAACATTTTTTTTTCTTCTATCACTCGTGCCAGAGAAAGGTAGGGCAAGGATTCCTGGAGTTAGTTTTTAGGATAAAAAACAAAACGGGGACTCACAAATGATGAAGTAACTTCCTGAAGTTTATGAAGCTAGGATGCATCTAGGCCATCTGACTCCAAATTTGTTAGTCTTCCCACAATATCAGGCTACCTGGAAATGGGTTTGTATATTCCCCAAAGGGAGAAGCAAACCAGAAAGTAGCTATTCATTTTCCATTTTGTATCATCTTTGTTCTCATTGTTGTCATGTGGAAGGAAATAATATATGCTGAGAATGACTCAACACTTAACATTAACATGATTGATATTTGTGCATACTTCAGTTTACCAATAGATCATATTAATTGTGTCAGATATTCTTCTTACAAAAGAATATTAGATTAACTGGAATTGATGTATTACCCAGCATATACAATCATGCTTGGCAAAGAGTAGATAGATACTCAATGAAAATCTGTTGAATGAATGAATGAAAAGACATTTAAAACCATATAATGCTAGGGTAGAATTAATTTAAAACCTTAAAAAGAATTCTCTAAGGAAATAATTTTTGTTACTCTTATAGGCCAAAGGAACATGATGCTCCTGAAGGTAGGGAACAGGCTAAGGATAGTAACCAATAGGGTGTCCTGGAGGTTCCCTCACATTCATATTTGAAGCATTGAGAGAAGGTAGATGGAGGCAGAGAAAGGACCTTCTACTGTAACGCAAGCTGGTTTCTCTAGTCTTGCTGTCTGTGTTATGAAAGAAATGCAAAATGAAATGATCTCCAACCACTTGTGAATTTAAAATTAAGAATTATGACAAATATGTATCTGATATGTCCATCTGCTTTAAATAACATTACCCCTTGTTTTACTTAAATACTCACATTCAAAAATGCTTCTTATTGTGTGACTAATGATTTATTGTTTTGTCATCATCATCACCATGAAATTTATATCCTAGAAACTAAAATACCCAGCTTATCATGTAGGTATTGAATTTACACTCAATAGAATGTTCTCGATATCTAAGTGTTCAAAAGAGAGTCTCCAAATCATTGTTAATATGGCCAGAAACATTTTTTCTTTTGCTCTTGTATCTGTGAACTAAAAATAGTTTTCTTGGCCCAACCCTCTGGAGCCACAGATATTTAAAATTATTCAACTTCAGTAAGGAGGAAGAAAGAAAACTAAGCACGGGGAAAGGCAGAAGACATGGTTTGGAAGAAATGGGCTGGAAGGAGAAAAGAGAATAAAAGAATGAGAGAAAGTTAAAAAGGCAAAAGGTTAGGTTAGGGGAAAGGGACCTCACATTGTTCAGTTTCTACCCCAGACTTAAAAGTCTTATATGTAATGAATGTAATTGAAGGAAGCATGCACATACTCATTTTATTTTTATTACATATGATATTGAATATGAAATTCTTATTACAAATTTTGATATGAGTGAGCATGTTAAGGGAACTGGGATGAACTAGTAAGAACTCAGCTGTTCTTTTGGGTTCTCAGGATGACCAGGACACTAACAGGTCAGGTCTGCTGCTGGTATGTCATCTTCCCAAAATGTCCCAGGAAAGTTTCCACGTAGGTTCAGCCTGCTCACATTGCATATTCATTCATTTAACAAATCCATTCATTTAACAAATTTTTATTGTGCTATTACAATGACTATGGCTCTATCTTCCTGTTTTCAATTCTTGACACCAAGTGTGAGGAAAGAGGGAACCACATTTATAAGGAATCTTGGCTACCACTAACCTATTGTAACATAAATAAAATCAACTCCATTGTTGCTCTGGCACTCTAAAGGGTTTTCTCCCTTTGGCACCTACATGGTTACTAAAATTGAGAAATCTGTCCTTTGTTAACCTGGTTATGAGATTTAAAAAAATGAGTATAAAAGTGCTTGTCATTTTTAGAGCTTTCTTCTTCATGCTTCTTCCAAGCTACCAGTGCATCTTTTTTTTTTTTTTAACATTTAGTATTTAGCATTTAATAACAAGTACTGAGAGAATAACTAAGCATTGTTTTAATCTCAAGGCTCTAAAGACCTTTCTTAGTTTTTTGGTTTTTGCAATATTGCTTTTATGAAATTTTAATGCTTGTAGGTATGGTATGTGATTATCCTGGGGGTCCCTGGGAGATAATTCTTAGGAAGAACTATTGAAACTGTACTCAATATTAAAATTAATGAACTCTTTTGGTGTCTGTGTTGTTGATCTTTGTGTTAAAGTGTGGATTCAGATAGCAAAGATTTTTTTTCCTGCCCCGGTGGAGTTGAGATTCCCTATGTTTTTGTATATGACATACCAAACATTGCACAATTTATGGACTGGGAAGGGAAAACTGAGTATAGAGTTCTGTGCTACTGTCCTGGTGACCCTCACATCAATGATATAAGGAACAAGGAAGTATCACCTCACATCAGAATTTAAAAGGCAAAGAAGTCCTAGCATAAGACCTTTTTTTTTTTTTAATTTCCTCTTGGATTCTAACTATACAATTAAGTGTCATCAAATCAGATTGTGAATATATATACACTAGAGGCCTGGTGCACAAATTCATGCATGGGGGGGAAGGAGGGTCCCATCAGCCCAGCCTATATGTTCTCTAATTTGGGACCCCTCGGGGGATCAGGCCTAAATCAGCAGTCAGACATTCCTCTCACAATCCTGAACTGCTGGCTCCTAATCACTCACCTGCCTGCATTCCTGGTCGCCCTTAATTGTTCCACCCTGCCAGCCTGATTGCCCCTAACTGCCCCCCCGCCACTGCCAGCTATGTCACCTACAAATGCCCCCCCTGCCAGCCTGGTCACCACTTGCTGCCCCCCCTCCGCCATCCTGGTTGTCCCTAACTACTCCCCATGCCAGCCTAATTGTTCCCAACTACCCCTCCCCCCCGACGGCCTGGTCACCCCAACTGCCCCCCCCCCACCAGCCTGGTCACCTCATACTGCTCCCCATGCTGGCCTAGTCACCCCCACTGCCTCTGCTGCTGGCCTAGTTGTCCCTCACAGCCCTCCCCCCACCCCCTGCCAGCCTGGTCACCCCATATACAGCCTGCTTGTTCAGTGGGCCTGGTTGTAAGCAGCTATATTGTGAGGGTGTGACAGTCAATTTGCATATTACCTCTTTATTATATAGGATATGGTTCTGTGTTGGCCATTCTTCTAAATGAGTCAACCAGTTACGATCTTCACTGTCTAGCACAGTGGTCAGCAAACTGTGGCTCACAAACCACATGCGGCTCTTTGGGCCCTTGAGTGTGGCTCTTCCACAAAATACCACATCTGGGTGTGCACATACAGTGCGATTGAAACTTCATGGCCCATGCACAGAAGTCCGTTTTTGGCTCTCAAAAGAAATTTCAATGGTTGTACTGTTGATATTTGGCTCTGTTGACTAATGAGTTTGCCGGCCACTGGTCTAGGAAATGGATAAAGGCATAGGCATATATTCCTGTGGGAATCAGCAAATTCTGCCATGGTGGCTAAACAAGTGTCAATAATAGAAATAGCTAGTTAACATTTAGTAAATACCTTCAACTATGTCAAATATTTTACATACACTTCAACTAATCACTCAGGACACTGCAAGGTAGTCGTTTTATCTCAATCTTATTGATAAAAAGAAAACTGAAGCTGAGTGAGGATAAATGTTAGCCACAAACTATCCCACAACTGCTTGGTGACTGTGTCAACATTAAATCTACATTTTTCTGGCAAAAAAATTGTCCATTTTCTTTGTATTGCACTAACAGATTAGACAAGATATAAGTAACCAAGGATAATTTCAAAGCTATTGTGCTAGGTACAGATTATATACTAAGAATAGGTGGGTAACAATGGTGGTGTAAACCTGTTTTATGCCATCTAAATATCATGATATCTCAGTGTAGCAACACTGATTAATCCAATTCTTGTTAATTTTTACTTTTATTTATTTTGAATTTTTCAGCTTTATTGAGATATAATTGACAAGATTGTAAGATTTTTAAAGCATACAATGTGATAATTCACCAAATAATGTTTTCCTAAACAATAATAACTTTCACCCATCTATATATATAAAAACCTCTGGAGTTTGACCAATTGTGAGTTTCTCTTGCTATGATGTGCACTGACCACCAGGGGGCAGCACAAAATGAAGGAAGGCTCTTGCCGGCAGCAGGCAGCTGCTAGGGATCCTACCCATGCACGAATTTCCTGCACTGGGCTTCTAGTATAACAGTAATGCAGTGAGCCAGTCTAAGAAATCTAACACTGATACAAACTATCATTTAGTTTACAGTCATATATAGGTGACACTGTATCCTTAGTGTATTGCATTAGAAGGTAAGTGTTGTCAGTCTGTCCTGTTATTGGTAGTATGAAGTTTAATCACCAGATTTCTCTGTTATAAATCTAAATGTATTATTTTACTTTTGTAAGTGGTAAGTAACATTTGGGGAATATTTTGTGACCATAAAAATATTTTCTCCAATAACTTTTTACCCAGTCATTTTAGCATATAAAATCATATCATCTACAAACAAAGACAATTTTACTTCTTCCTTTTTTATTTCATGCTGCTATTTACTAGCATTTTTCTTGCCTGATTGCTCTGGCTAGGACTTCCATTACTATGCTGAATAGGAGCAATGACAGTGAGTACTTTAGTTTCTGATTTTAAAAGAAAAGCTTTAAAATTTTTACCACTGAATATGATCTTAGCTGTTGGCTTATCATATATGGCCATTATTATGTTGAGGTATGTTTCTTCTATATCCATGTGTTGAGCATTTTTATCATGAAAGGATGCTATATTTTGTCAAATGCTTTTATGCATCTATTGAAAAAAATCATGATTTTTATCTTTCTGTTGATGTGGTGTATCACATATGTGGATTTGTATATGATGAACCATCCTGCACCTCAGTGATAAATCTTATTGGACAATAATGTTATAGAGTATAATCTTTTTACTATGCTGTTAAATTTGATTTGCTAGTATTTTGTTGAGAATTTTTACATCTATATTAATTAGGGATATTAGCTTATATTTTCTAGTAGTTTCATTATCTGGATTTGGTATCAGGAAAAGGCTAGACTTGTAAAATGAGTTTGGGTATTCCTTCCTCTTTGAGAAGTATTGGCATTAATTATTCTTTAAATGTTTGGTGGAATTCACAGTGAAATCATCTGGTCCTGTGGTTTTCTGTGTTGAGAGGTTTTTTGATTACTGATGCAATTGCCTTATTCTTTTTTGGTCTCTTCAGATTTTCATTCTTCATGAATAAGTCTTAGTATGTTATATGTTTCTAGAAATTTATCCATTTCTTCTAGGTAATCCAGTTTGTTGGCATATCATGGTTCATAGTATTCTCTCATGAACATTTCTTTGTATTTCTGTGGTATCATTATAATGTCTCATCTTTCATTTCTGATTTTATTTATTTGAGTCCTGTCTCTTTTTATTTGAATTTGAGCTAAAGGTTTGTCAATTTCAGTTATCTTTACAAAACAACAACAAAAACAAAACTATTACCCTGTTTCCCCGAAAATAAGAGTGTCTTATATTAATTTTTGCTCCCAAAGATGCGCTAGGTCTTATTTTCAGGGGATCTTATTTTTCCATGAAGAAGAATATGGTACACATTTATTGTTAAATGAAAATAAAAGAAATTTATTACCTGTATACGGTACGGTAGTTCTGTAGTTGTCAACACAAACCAGACAAACTGTGAATCCTACAGTATAAAGAATTTACTCATTTATTCAATGACAATCATGTCATCATCTTCTGGAACATCATCATAACAATCCAATTCCTGAATTTCCTGGTGAATTTCTGTGACTCCATTTCTTTCAGAATCAGTGGACCAAATCTCTCATGTTTAGCCTGGGGGGGGGGGGAGGGAGAGGCTTATTTTCGGGGGGATGCCTTATATTTCACTCAGAAGGAAACCTGTAAGTAGGTCTTATTTTATTTTTTAAAAATATATTTTATTGATTTTCTACAGAGAGGAAGGGAGATAGATAGAGAGCCAGAAACGTCGATGAGAGAGAAACACCGACCAGCTGCCTCTTGCACACCCCCCACCGGGGATGTGCCCGCAATCAACGCACATGCTCGTGACCGGAATTGAACCCGGGACCTTTCAGTCCACAGACCGACGCTCTACCACTGAGCCAAACAGGAGTAGGTCTTATTTTCGGAGGATGTCTTATTTTCAGGGAAACACGGTAGTTTCACTGATTCTTAAAATATTTTTTCTGGTCTCTATTTTGTTTATTTCTATTCTGATCTTTATTATTTTCTTTCTTCAGCTAACTTTGGGCTTAGTTTGTTCTTCTTTTTCTATTCCCTTGAGGTGTAAAGTGAGGTTACTTGAGTTGTTTCTTAATGTCAGCATTTATTGCAATAAGCTTCCTTTTTAGAACTGCTTTTGTAGCATCCCATAGATTTCAACATGTTGTGTTTTCATTTTTGTTTGATTTGAGATATTTTTTATTTTCTGTTGGATTTCTTTTTTTTTTTTTAACCTGTTTGTTGTTCAGGAGCATACTGTTTAATCTCCACACAGTTGTCAATTTTCCAGTTTCCTCCTGTTATTGATTTTTGGTTTCATACCACTGTATTCCAAAAAGATACTTATGATTTCAATCTTCTTAAAATTGTTAAGACTTGTTTTGTGGCCTATCCTGGAGAATACTCTCTGTGTCCTTGAGAAGAATGTGTATTCAGCTGTTGTTGGATGGAATATTCTGTATATGTGTGTTATTTTTATTTGGTCTAAAGGATGGTTCAATTTCAATGTTTCCTTGTTGATTTTCTATTTGGATAATCTACCCATTGTTGAAAGTGGGACGTTGAAATTTCAAATACTTTTATCATATTTCTGTCTATTTCTCCCTTCAGATCTGTTAACATATGCTTAATATAGTTAGGGGTGCCAATGTTGAGTGCATATATATTTAATTTATTATATATGTTGACCCCTTATCATTTTATAATGTTTGTCTTTGTCTCTTGTTACCATTTTGACTTGATGTCTATTTTGTCTGATATATTTATAGCAACCCCTGTTCTCTTTTGGTTTTCATTTGCATGGAATATCTTTTTTCATCCATTAACTTTGAGTCTATATTTTTCCTTAAAACTGAAGTGAATCTCTTGTAGGCAGCATTTAATTAAGTCTTGTTTTTTTTATTTACCC